GCTTGAGATTACAAGATAGCATTTCTTACTTTTGAGATTAGCAAGCTAGCAAGTTTGCCTCTTTTCAAATTGTGCAAGCTAGCAAATTTGCTTTCTAGCAAGTTTTGCTCTCCCTTTGTCATTGTCAAAAAGAATGGAAGACCTTTTGCATCAATTTTCAAATCATGACAAAGAAAAATAGCATAGATGAAAATTCAAGTCATGAGTCAAAACAATTATTTTATCATGAATATTTCATCATTGCATACATCATTATCATAAGTTAAAGTATTGCATGCATAATACCAAATCATCATGTATATAAAATATAAAATTATCATTACATGCATATTCCAAATCATCATTCTTGAGTATTATTTCAGAAAATGATAATTATTGATTTTCACATTATTTCAAAAAATCATAGTGTTGCATGCATCATTCCAAAACATTTCAAGCCATACAAGCCATAAATACAAAGAAATCATATCATGAAGGATAAGACCAATTAAATATCAAAAGACATGATTCATATAGTAAATCTCTTCTTTAAATAAAATACCAAGAAAATATCGTAGGAGTACAAAGAAGAGATCTTGAAAAAAAAATATCTCAAGTAATTCCAAGAGATCAAGATTATGATTTGAATAAAAACTCATTCAAATTCAAATGATCAAATCAAAATCATTTTTCAGATACTCATAAAAAGATGATCAAATAGATTCATCAAAGTCAATAAGATAGAGAAAAAGAATTTTCAAGAAAAATACTTTTCTCTTTTTAGTTGTTTCAATTCATGTGATTTATTTCATAAAAGCATACCTTTTTCATTTATGTCAAATAAAAATATGCATCAACATTTAAAACTGAAAAAGCCACTTTCATTACCGTAAAAATCGATAATCCATCAATTGCAAGAATCATCATGCATAATTTTGAAATATAAATTTATTAAGCATGATCACAAATTACATTATTTCATCAAGCATGATTTCATATTTTCAATCAGAATCATTTTATTTGTTTATCATAAAATATGTATTTTTCTTTTTAGACGAGTCTAACTTTTCAAGCTTAGCTTTCGATACAAAATCCATGCATCATTAAGTATCATATCAAACTTTTTAATATTTTCGTTGAACATAATTGATTCTTAAAGATATCTAAACTTCTTTAGTTTTAATTTATATAATTGACTTTATATTAGCATGCCCAAATTTTTGTTCTTATGTCAAAACCATACATCATGTTGAAAACCAAAGATAAGGTTCATAAAAAAAATCATCAAGCCTTCCATACAAACATTTATTTTCAAAGCATTCATCATGATAAAGCATACAAGCCAAAGAAACCATTAAACATAAAGTATATTCATCAATGATGGTTTCATTGGGCATAAGGCATTTTCAAACAAAATGATTTTATTATTAAACATGTAATTTTTTTATTATCATTTTCGAAATCACTAGCATGATCCCAATTTTTGCATTACATTTTTAAACATGCAATTTTCAAAAAATAATTTTTTTAAACTAAATAAAAAAAATGCATCATGAAAAGCATCATGTAATTTTGAAATAAATTAAGAGCATTTTGATTACCTCATCGTCGAATGTCGTTAAAGCATAGTTTACCACCTCGCCTTTGTTAAATTTCTCCTCGTCTTTGAAGGAGCTCGATTCATCCTAATTTGTGTTCTTCTTCTTGCGTTCAAAGCATGTAGTTCTGTTCTTTAATTTTTGTTTCATAAACTTTTTAAATTTCATGAGGAGTTTAAGTTCACCATCACTTGAGCTTATGCTCGAGTGGTCTTCAATTGTTCTATGTCTCAAATCCTTCCTGTTCTTTGGAAGGTGGTTCTCAAGTTCTTCATGTGCGTTGCACGTCATTTCATACGTGATCAATGAACCAATTAGTTCTTCAATCGAAAAATTGTTCAAGTTCTTTGATTCTTGTATTGCCATTATTTTCGAATCCCAATTTTTAGAAAGTGATCGTAAAATCTTGTTAATGAGTGTAAAGTCCGAAAAACTTCTACCAAGTGTTTTTAAACCATTGACGATATCCGTAAAATGGGTGTACATGTCTCCAATGGTTTTGTTTGGTTTCATATGAAATAGTTCAAAATCATGCATTAGAAGATTGATCTTAGAATCTTTAACTCTATTCGTACCTTCGTGTGTGATTTTGAGAATATGCCAAATATCGAAGGCCGTTTCGCACATAGAAACCTGATTAAACTCGTTTCTGTCTAAGCCGTAAAATAAGGCATTCATAACCTTTACATTTAGAGAAAAAGTCTTCTTCTCCAAATCATTTCAATGGATCATTGGAAGAGAAGACCTTTTAAAATAGGATTCGACTATGTGTCATAAATCGAGATTCAATGAAAGCAAGAAAACTATCATTCGAGTTTTTCAATAAGTGTAGTCCGTCCCATTGAAAAAGGGAGGACGAATGAGAGAGTGACCCTCTTGAAAGCTAAAAAGAGCCATTTCAATTTAGGTGTTAAGCCAAATATGAAAAACAAGGCTCTGATACCAATTGTTAGGATCAAGAGGTCGACACTAAGAGGGGTGGTGAATTAGTACAATGGTAAAATAATATCTTCAAAAACTTTCATACGATTAAAACCGTTTCCGACGTAATACCATTTCGTAAAGGTAATACTTTGAAAGCGTACGTAAGAGAGTAGTGGATGTAAAGAGCAAGTAAGGAGGTTTGCAATTAAAGTAAATTGCTCAAAGAAATGCAAATCAGATTTTAGAATGGTTCGGCCATCGTGACCTATATCCACTTTGTCAATTCCTCTTCTGTCGAGGCCACCGACATCCACTATCGATCTTCCTTCAATAGCCGAAGATCAATCACCTTTTACACCGCTCTTCTCATTTTCACAGGTTTAGGAGATAACCCTTACAAGCACTCACACTCCTCTTACAGAATTCTAAACTTAGAGTGGAGGAGGAAATTTCTAAAGAGATTGCAGCAGTGTTTTCTCACTTTTGAATACTTTGTGCTTGTATACTTTTAACCAGGGACGAGAGGGGTATTTATAGGCTTCAAGTTGATTTAAACTTGAAGCATAAAAATATTTCATCCTAGGTTTCTCGGGCATGGGCAGTACCATCGCCTACGTTGGGCGGTACCACCGCTAGTGTCAATCTGACATTGACACTGCATTAGGCGGTACCACTACCTGGGGTGCTGTGTTGGGTGGTACTACCGCCTGGCACCCTGCCAAGGGCGGTACAACCGCCTAAACTGGCGGTACCATCGCTTGACATAGTCTTGAAGATTGTGCCATGACGGTGAGACTTCTTGGGGCACTATTTGCGACTCTTATTGGGCCCATTACAGTTCTTATATGGGCCTAGCTAACCCCTAATTAGGTTGGCCCAAATCCAAACCTAATTACGTGCTAACTACGATTCCAAAAACATTTGCTAAGATAAACAAGTCTCTATGTCTTGGTTTCTTCCGGCGATCTTCCGGTAAACTTCCGACGAACTCTCGGCAATGTTCCGACGGACTCCCGATAAGCTCTTGGACTTCACAACGATCTTCTTGGCGAGTTCCGATGAGCTTCTCTAGCAAGCTTTGAGACTTCTCGGCTAGTTCTGATAGAACTTCCGACGAACTCTTAAACTCCCAACGAAATCGTGTCCTTAACTCCAGGACTTCATTTTGCTTCATGCCTTGCTATCGTAGTTAATCCTGCACATATAAAAATATACTTCGATCTAGATAATTAATACTAAGCATTAATCATGTTGTCCGACATGTCATTGGTCCTTCGACGCTTCATCCAATTCTTTGATGCATTGTCCTCTCTTGCGGCCTATTGCCCAATCGACCAATTGACTTCGCAACTCCGATATCCTTGGCGTAATATTTGCTCTTCTTGACCCGATGCCCAAATCCATGGTCTGAAGCCTTTTGTCGATACATCGACCGATCCTCCGGTCCGACGTCCAATCATCTGACATGTTTTCCTCCGGCACAACATGATTCTTCCTGCTTTAATTATCTCATCCTGATCGAAGCATCCCGAGTCATCAAAATACAGATTAAATCATAAATAATTATCAATTGATTTTATCATTAAAATATAATATTAGTATCCTCCGTACCAAAGAGCTTGCTAATTCTTTTAATCTATATCTTATTATTGGTGATGGATCTTAAACCTTTTTATGGTTAGACCCTTGGAATCGAAGAGGAGTACCACATCATGTGCTTGGTGATAGTATTTCTTACGAGTAACGATCAAATTATTTGGCTTATGTTTTTGATACCATATATGATGGCCCTTCGTATATCTTTCACCCAATTCTCATTCCCCATAGTCCATTTAGCTCGAAAAGATTTAAAGAATATTGAGTATCTCTCAAATTATGAAGATGACCACATAATGTGGACTCTCTCTACCTCTAGAAAATTCAGGCTCAAATCAGCCTACAACTTGATTCATCAGCAACCCTCCTCTTTAGAGTGGCACATGTTGATGTTCAATGTATACTTACTGCTAACATCAACACCCTTGAGGATAATACTGAAAATCGTGAGGCAGCTCTTTCATAGCAACTATAAGTTCCATTTAAGTTACCTACACATATAT